TTCTCCCTCTGCCTTTGCCCCTCCCACCCCCCCCCCCCCTTGTGCTCTATCTCTCTCTCTCAAACAAATAAAATCTTAAAAAAAAAGATAAAATAAAATCCTTTTGTCGGGAAGTATGGACTTTTTACCTCTAGTGTGAAGAACGTCTTTATGAAAAATGCCTTGGTTGGAAAAGTAAGCTGTTAGTAACCCCTATTGTCCCCCCAATTTTATTTATCTGTATATCCAGAAATTCAAAAAGCCTGGGAAGGCCAGATCCAGCCCTGGTTTGGAGAGTTTTGAGAGGCCTCCATTGGCATGGGGCCTGAGCAGGCTGGGTTGAAGCCAGAGCAGCCCCTTAGCGTTTGTCTGTTCTGTCGGCTTCTGCGCAGCGTTACAGAATAGAGTTTTGAAATTTTGAGAAGGTGTTTCCCCCACCCCATATTCCTTGTTCCATTTCCCACCTCCGTCAGATAGGCATGGGGGGTCTTGCTAGGCCTTGGTGTTAGGGGCAGCAAGCACAGCTTGGCAGAGCTGAGGGCCTGAAACCCACACGCGAAGCTGGAGTCTCAAAGCCAAGGCACTTCTCATGTGTAGTGAGAAAAAAGGCTTTTTCTGGGAATTCCAGGGCTGGGCAGGAACCATCAGGAGCACAGGATGGGTAGGTAGTCCCCTGGATGATGTCCCCAAACATGCCTACGTCCTAATGCCGTAACCTGTGCCCATGTCCCCGACAAGGCTGGAGAGACTTTGCACATGAGATTAAGTGAGGGGTCTTGGGGGGTGGTTAGCTTGCATTCAAGTGGGCCTCATGGCGTCTCAAGGGTCCTTATGAGAGGGAGGCAGGGGATCAGAGTCAGAGAGAGAAGCTGTGAGGACAGAATAGAGGAGAGAGGATTCTGTGCTGCTGGCCTGGAGGCAGGGGAGGGGCTGCACGTGCCCTCCAGGAGCTGGAAAAGGGTAAGAAAGAACCGGCCTGCAGACCCATAGACTTCGAACGTCCAGGACCATGAGAGAATAAATCTGTGTTGCTTTAAGCCACCAAGTCTCTGGTTATTTGTCCGGAGGCCACCGGAAGCTCATACGGGATGATCGTGTTTCTGCCAGGGAGGTTCGGGGTTCTGAAGACACCTTGTTTGCAATGCACCCCCTGGGATGGAGGCAGCCATGTCTAAGGGTGCCTCCCAGGCAGAGTGTGACCAGGCCTGGGCAGGGCTGGCAGACACCCCACAAGGAGGTGGTCATGTGGGGACTCAGGGAAGACATGATGCTCCCTCCTTGGAGGGATGTTTGCTCTGAATCTGGCTCTTCTCACGGCTGCTGTAGCCGGGCCCGCAGCCACCTCTGCCTGTGAGGAACCACAGCATGGCTGATGGGCCTCTGCCTGGCCACGTGGGGTCTGAGGGGACGTGGCGGCCTTGGCTGCGGGGGAGCTTCGGACACTCACGAGGTTTGACATAAAAGAACTTGAGGGAGATTCCAAGGGCTCCAGAGTCATCCCCCCAAGGGTTTTGGGCAGTAGAAGACCAGGGGGAGGATGTCCCAGCCCTGCTGTGGCGGGGACACATTCCCCCTACTGTCCTGTCCACTTACCCGGCTGGGGTCTGGAAGGGTGGAGGGTGGGACCCAGGCCTGCCCTGGCGGGTCCACATTCCAAGGGAGTGGAATGACGGGCAGGTGCCGGAGAGAAGCTGGGGGAGGTGGTCTGTGGGGAGAGCTCAGCTCAGGACCCCAACCGAGAAGGGCTGATTTAGACCCCACCACTACCCGTGAAGCACTTCCAGGGGCTTCCAGGGGCTTCTGAAGGTCATAGCACATACTTATTCTAGAGAATTAAGCAAACATAGAAATCTATAAAGAAAATTCAGGAACTCATAATACTACCACCCTAGATCACAGCTGATGTTGCTGCATTCCTCTTCAGTCATTCTTTATATGCTCACAGACACGTGACACCCAGCACGTCTACAAAGGGCACAGACATGCACGTGACATGCACCTGACATGTATACACAGGACAGGAGCCCAATTGCGCCTATCACACCCAACACTTGCATACGTGGCCACAGACTTTTTTCTTTCACAAAATCAAAGCAATACTGTGTATACAAACTTATAACCTGCTTTTTTTCTTTTCACTTAACAGAGGCTGATGGTTTTACACTGGGTCTTCTTTGAAAATTTGTTTTTTACGGGTACACAATATTACATGGGGTGGCCACATCCTAATGAAATCCCCATCAGGTACTGATGCTCCTTCCCAGTTTCCACTCCTTCATATCATTCCAAAAAGGACATCCTGTTTTGCAATATTAAGCTTATTCCTGTAAATCCCCGTGTCTCTTGGTGATCTCTCCTAGGATCGGGTTTCGATCTTCCTGTAATGAATGATGCATTCTCTTCTGTTGGACTCACACATCACATTTATCACTCTCTCCGCCCCTGGGCCACCACCTTTTGTTTGTGAAGGGACCTGAGGACTGAGGCCACCCCGAGTTGTTCTAAGTTTTAGATTATTCCTCCCATGGCTCACCCAAGCATTCGGAAGGGTGAGTGGAGGTTGGGAAGCCCATGCCCACGTCTCCATGACACCCAGAGAACAAATCGCCATTCACCCTGCCTTGGACGGCCATGTTGGAATTCTTGTTGGAAGCCCTGCCAACCGCCAGTGTATGCAGCTGACCCCAGAATCTTGTCACTGTCGTCCAGCCCGAGCTGGCCATTTGTTCCATTTGCTCAACTTCTGTCTGTGAACCCTATGAGGGCAGTGAGCACGCTGCCCTTGCTCCTTGTGGAGCCTTCGGTGCCCCAGGGGTGCCCCGTTAGTACAGACGAGTGGACAGATCAATGGAAAATGAAGAAGCAGATGGTGCTGGCTCTGCCCTCTGGGTCATGGGACTGTGGACCCGTATGGATCGGAGCGGAGGAGGGGGAGGGGAGGCTGCCCCTCCTGGGGTCTGAGGGTCTTCCCTCTTCCCAGTGTGATACACTCTCCTCACAGCCAGGCCAGCAGGGATGGGCAGCCCACCCACACCCACACCCAGGATGTCATCTCGAACAGCCAAGTCCTCGAGAACTCATGACTGAGAGAGGCCCCTTGACTCAGGGGAAGGTAACTGAGGGGAACCTGGGCACATGGGTGGTAGTTCAGACCTGCCAGGATTCAGATATCAGCTCTGCCAGACCTCACAGTGGGGGCACAGGGCAACGCTTGCAGGCACAGCCCCCTAGTCCTCAGCACAGCTCATCTGCTGGAGGGGGGAGCAGGGGTGCAGGTAAGGGGCAGAGGCATGGGCTCTGCTACAAAGACGTCCCTGGTGGAGGAGAGGCCTGATGATCCCGGTACTGAGAAGGGAAATGGAAAAATGTGTCCCGAGATTATTTTGTTTTGTGCCCTGAGTTTCTTCTCTGTAAATAGAGACCTGAGTCAGGATCAGTCTTATGCTCTGGTCATCGGTCAGAAGGGGAGCTAGAAAAACAAAAGAATCGCACATTGTGATACAGGCAAAGCAGAAGCGATGCCTGGAAGCTGATGGCTTGTTGGTTTAGCAGACAAGCAAGAATTCACCAGAAGGGCCACTATTGTTCATTAGTGCCCCAGCCCTGGGAAGAGCCAGAAAGGGGGATACTGCACCCCTGCAGGTCATGGAACGTCCCCTTACTCCACTCTCCGGAGGCAGCCACCCGCCCCTCCCAGTCACCGACCAAAGGCTCCAGTCTCCCCCCAGTGTACGCAGCCTGGTTGTTTCCTTCTTCAGAGCCAGAAGGGAAAGCAAGAGTAAGTCGGCTTGGAGTTTGTATACGTGTATGTGTGTGTGTAGGTCTGCGCACATATACATGATGTATATATGTATAAAGACATATCAATATGTAATACTGTGTGTATAAAACATAATGTAATCATGAAAATATGTACTATAGGGCGCCTGGGTGGCTCAGTCATTAGGCGTCTGCCTTTAGCTCAGGTCATGATCTGGGTCCTGGGATCGAGTCCCACATCGGGCTCCCTGCTCGGCGGGGAGGCTGCTTCTCCCTCTCCCACTCCCCCTGCTTGTGTTCCCTCTCTCGCTGTGTCCTCTCTGTCAGATAAATAAAGAAAAAGAAAAGAAAAGAAAAAGAAAGTATGTACTATAAAAGCAATAATTATGTATATATAATGTAATCAAGGGGTGACATCCATCAACTTTGCTACTTCTATTGGTAAGAAATAAGTCACAGTTTCCACCTTCAGTCACAGGGAGGGGATGACTGACTGGGGGTCACCTCAGGGTACCACATAGAGTGACATGGACACCAGGACTTTTCAAATGCCTGAGACAATTTGAATCGCAGCAAAATTTGAGAAACTGATCCAAGGAACTTTGCTGTCAGCTAATGACAGAAGCAGGTTGTGTCTCCTGCAGGCGCTGCCCAGTCCAGGCCCAGCTGCAGACTTGTTCATCTGGGGACACTCACCAGATGTGCTGGGGGAGATGTGCCACATGCAGTTGGATGCACTGGTTGGAAGTTTGGAAGGAAGGGCCAAATGACCTGATTACTTTAGTAAATTATTTAAAAAGCCATCTATCTCTCCTCTTGTGTTATTATTTTTTTTACAAAAGCAACTTATTTTTAAATAAAAAATCATGAAGCAAAGGAAACAAGCAAAACAGTGAAAGAATAAGGTGAAAAATATAAGAAACTGACATTCTGGTCTTGGGGAACTAAAGATGTTCTGTATAAAGACCAAAAAGATCCTTTCTCAAAGAAGAGACTGACACATTAGACCATATCTATGGAGTCTAAACAAAGTGAGATAAGCCACAAAAGGGGGAAATGTGTTTAAAATGTAAGTAACTGAGGCTTGATCAGTTTCCCGAATTCCTAAAGAAGCTTTAATCAAAAGAAAACAAGAAGGAGCCCACTCTCAGCCACAGGACAGGACCCGTGACCAGGCAGGGCACCCACGAAGGGACAAGGACCGTCAGAGACGCGGCCGCCTGCACCGTTTCAGAAACCCGCGGATGGAAAGAACAGGGAGAACAGTTCTGCGGGCGGGGGCGGAGCAACACCTGGGAAGGCATGATGGTGCTGGGGGGGCAGAGGGGGACAGCCTGCCTCCCTGGGGGGGCCCCACAGGGCTCTCCTGGGAGGGAGGTGGTGACTCAGCAGTTTCATTTCCTGGTGGGCTGAGGCTCATGGGAGATATGCAGATGAGCCCAGAGCACCATGGGAAAGGGCCCTTTATATTGCCAGGTGGGCCGCTTCCCCTCCTTTCTGAGGGGCGCCCACAGGAGGGAGGTGCCAGGCCGGGTGAGAACCCCTCGGGCTGAGGGGCGGGTCTGGGGGACACAGGCTGGTGGGGTGGGCTGGGCTGAGAGGCTGAAGCGCCCAGGTGGTCCAGCCTGGCCTCGGGCCGGGTGGGGGGGTTGACTCGACAGGCTTCCCTCAGCTTCCCTCATCAGGTCGCATCCGGTTCCCTCAGGTCCCGTCAGGTTTCCTCAGGTCCTGTCAGGTCCCATCAGGTTTCCTCAGATCCTGTCGGGTTCCCTCAGGTCGCATCCGGTTTCCTCAGATCCTGTCGGGTTCCCTCAGGTCGCATCCGGTTTCCTCAGATCCTGTCGGGTTCCCTCAGGTCGCATCTGGTTCCCTCAGGTCCCGTCAGGTTCCCTCAGGTCCCGTCAGGTTTCCTCAGATCCTGTCGGGTTCCCTCAGGTCGCATCCGGTTTCCTCAGATCCTGTCGGGTTCCCTCAGGTCGCATCCGGTTCCCTCAGGTCCCGTCAGGTTCCCTCAGGTCCCGTCAGGTTTCCTCAGATCCTGTCAGGTCCCATCAGGTTTCCTCAGATCCTGTCGGGTTCCCTCAGGTCGCATCCGGTTTCCTCAGGTCCTGTCAGGTTCCCTCAGGTCCCGTCAGGTTCCCTCAGGTCCCGTCAGGTTTCCTCAGGTCCCACCAGGTTCCCTCAGGTCCCGTCGGGATCCCTCAGGTTCTCTCAGGTTCTGCCGCGCGAGGCTGACTGGCTGTCGGGGTCTGGGGGTGGGGGTCGGGGGGGTTGGGTGGGGAGGGCGCGTGTGCCCCACAGGCCTGGGGGCAGGGCTGAAGGGGCCAGGTCTCAGCCCCCCGCCCCTGCCCCTGCTCCTCCCGGTGACGGGTGACCGACCTCACTTGCTTGTCCGCTGCGTCTTCCCAGAGAACGGAGCCGTCGCACAAGCTGAAGAATCCTCCGGAAGTCTGACCTTCCCGACCCCTGCGGATCCCTGGTGACTTGGGACCCAGCTCCTCCACCCCACCCCAGATACCCGGCCGGGAGCCCCCTCTCTTCCTCTCCCCCGCCCTCCCTGCCCCGCCCCCGCCCCCGGGCCAGACCCCGAGCCCCCAGCCCGGCCCACTCTCGCTGCCCACCCCGGTAGGAGGCAGGCCGCGTGGCCATGTGCCCCCCGGTCAGCGTGCGCTATGGGGGCGAGGGCATGTCCTACCTCCATGCATCCTGGATGTATCAGCTTCAGCATGGCGACCAGCTGGCGGTTTGCTTCGCTTGCTTCAAGGCTGCCTTTCTGGAACTCAGAGACTTGCTGGGCTTGGAAGACTGGGAAGATGAGGACTGGGACCCCGAGCCGACGGAGCACGCCGAGGCGGGGCCTGAGCAGGGGGGGCCCCCGGGGCTGGGGTTCGGCTGGGGGCAGGGCCAAGGTCACCCCGCACAGGGGGGCACTGTGGACTGGGGGCCAGGCACCCCGGCGTCAGCCCCCGCGGGGTCTGAGGAGGTGGGCCTGGACCACCACTTTGTGCCCACCGAGCTGGAGCCTCACAACGCGGCACCCTTGGGCCTGGGTCCCGAGGACGCCGACTGGACCCAGAGCCTGCCCTGGAGGCTCGACGGGCCCCCCACCTGCTCGCACTGGCCGAGTCTCCCTCCTCCGTGGCAGGGGTTTCTCAAAGTGGACCTGCCCCCGGGGGAGCCCATGGTGCTGGAGCTGGGCACCACCCGGGCCGTGGACCCTGCCGAGGCCGAGGCCTGGTTAAGGGACCTGGAGGTCGTCTCCATGGTGGGTTGCTACGATGCCATCTACCTCCGGAAGATGACAGTAGGATGGACCCTGAGGACCCCGGGCCGGGGCTGGAAACTGCTGCTGGAGCCCGACGAGCTGTGGGTGGTGAGACTACAGGACGCGCCCCAGGAGCAGGACCTGCACAAGTGGAAGCTGAGCATTCTGGAGCCCTGTCCTCCAGGGCAGACCGAAGAGCTGGTCCCTGCGGACTCAGCCCTGCTTAAGAGGGGGTTCACCATCCTCTCCTACTCACCCTGGGCCAAAAGGGAGGCAGGGGAGGGGGCCTCCGCAGCCAGGCCACAGTCCTCGTCCTCCCAGGGGCGGGATCCCAGCACCACTGAGACCTGGAGCCACGGGCCCAGTGGGCCCCGGGGGCCTGGGGAGGGCCCGGCTGCCATGGGAGCCTCGGCCCTGGGGGAGCTGCCCTGTTTCCAGCCCTTCAGGCCAGGGCCCCAGAACTGAGGGACTGAGGCCCAGGTGGCCACCGTTGTCCCGGCCGCCCCCTCCCCACAACAGCCAGGGGCGCGACTGGCAAAGAACGGGGGACTAGTGCCTGGGGAGGGAGAATGGGGAGCTGCCTAGGGACTGAGGAAGGGGACGCGTCACTGCCTCCGTGGAAGGGGCCCAAGGCCTGTAAGCGGGAGAGAATTTCTCCTCCGTCAAATGTCGCGGAGCCAGGAACGTGACGCCCTCTGGGGCGCGGTTGGTGAATGGCTGCCGCGCAGCTCGGCAAGTGGGGTGCGGCACACGCGTCTGTGCACCAGCCCTGCCCTGGCCACACGCAGGGATGTGTCCAGTGGGGCCCGTGTCCCAGGAGCACGCGGAGGTGGGGGCAGCGGGGCTGTGTGCTTGCCTGTGCCTGGCTGGTCTCTGGGGCCCCGGGGGACCCTGTCAGCCGCAGTGGGGACCCTGGTCTGCACGGGGAGAGACCCTCGTTTCATATGTTGGCCATTTTATGCAGTTTGACCGTTTAGTGCCCGTTTCTTTGTGTGTTGTTTTTTAACTGAATAAAGTCAGAAGAGTTTTGCATCCAGGCCCTGGGTGAGTCATCTGTCAGTTCGTCCTTGTTGGTGGCCTTGTCTTCTCAGTGCCTTGGATGAGCCCCCTTGACAGGTTGAAATCTCCTAGGAGCAGGAGACAGAAGTGGGGACAGCACAGGGCAGTTGAGTCAGTGTTTTGGCTCATGGTAAGAGTTTGTTTATCACATTATTTATAAGCAAACACATGCACGCTTAAAGGGCCATGTTGTGAACAATAATGAGTGTATCATCAAACACAGATTTTAATCAATCTAAATGTGTCCCGATTAAAAAAAAAATTTCAGGCAGAACATGTGTAAAGAATGCTAATATATTCCCGAGACAGAGGCAGGGGGTAGGTACCAGCATCCCAGTGTGCTGTTCGCTCACTGGAGTAGGATGCTCTGGAGTTCTGGGCACCAGGGTGCCATAGGCAGGAGAGATACTCTTAATCAGGGAAGATGTTCTTAGCAGGTTTTCCTTCTTGCAAATGATTGATCTGGAGGTTTCTGTTGCCCTCCATTGGTGGTCTCTGGCTGACACAGCCTTCCAATGATTCAAGGATGGGCTGTTTCCCTTTCAGTGACAAATACAGCTCTAGAGGTCCATTCTGGAGGGTTTTCCTGTGCATTATGTTTATCCTATCGAATTCGAGGGCAGTTTTCCTCCCACGTATCTTTCAGAAGCAGTCCTGGTCTTAAATCATGAAGGCTTCTGATACTAATTAAGTGAGAAAAAAACTTTAATGCAGCAACAGCCTTTCAACACCCCTAGATCATTCTATGAGCACTTAGTGAGCTGGAGTCTGTATTAGAACATTTACCTGCCTTCTCTCCCAAACAAACCCTGCCTGGTCTTACTTTGTCCCTTCCCCTCTCCATCCCTCCAGATTAAATAGTCCATTTATTCATTATTCCAGCAAACTCTTGTTTTGAGCAGCCTTTTTTTCCCCTTAATGACCTGGCTTCTTTGCAGAACTTCAGGCCATCCTGCAGCAGGGCCCAGGCGAATGCTCGAGCTCTGTACCAGGAGACAAGAGGGTTCCTCAGCACTTCTCATCTGGAAATAGACAAAATACCAACTCACAAGGTTGCGGTGAAAATGAAAAAACATAAAATACATCCTCAAAAATTAAATCTGTAATTACCATATGAATTATGTACCCAAATGAGTTAAAAAGGTACATGCTCATAACAGCACTGTTCATGATCCACATGTCTAGATGAAGGGATAAACGAAATGTGGCATGCCCGTACAATGGAATATGCTTCACCATAAACAGGAATGAAGAACTCACCTATGCTATGGCATGGATGAACTTCGAAACCATCCTGCTAAGTGAAAGAAGCCTGTCACAAAGGCTACATGTTGTACTTACATGAAATGTCTGGAATAGGCAACTCCATACAGACAGTGGTGATAAGTGGTTGCCAGGGACTGAGGAAAAGGAAGAATGGGAAGTAACTGCTTAATGGGTGTAGGGTCTCCTTTGGGGACAATGGCAATGTTCTGGAACTGGATAGACGTGACCGTTGCACAATAGTTAACTTTATGTTATGTGAATTTCACCTCAAATTTAAAAAATCAAATGTAAATGTTGTAACACATTGGTCCAGAGCAGAGATAACTATGTGTTTTCTTCCCAGAGGACCTGGGGAGAACACCCCCACACACCCCCAGACACGGCCCCAGTGTGAATTATTCCACTCTGCTTAAAGCAGCTGTAGTCAGTTCTGGCTGTTAATGGAAATTAGCTGGGGTGTGTGCAGTGGAATACCACAGAGCCTTTCAAGGCGTGAATGAGCTCTTATTTTTCAGATTGAGAGAAAACAGAAAATCGCAAAAGGATAGGTACAGTCCAGTCCCATTTATGAAAATTTTAAAGCACATTATTGATTGCACATGGAAAATACAAGGTCAAAAAAAAAAGTTTGGGAGTTACCTCAAACTCAGGGCAGTGGTACCTCTAGGGAGGGAAGAGAATGGGAATGAGGACTAGGGATATAATAGTTCCTCAAACAACACTCTGAAACAAACATTAAAAATACTGTCACTAGGGGCGCCTGGGTGGCTCAGTTGGTTAAGCGGCTGCCTTCGGCTCAGGTCATGATCCCTGGGTCCTGGGATCGAGCCCCACGTCCGGCTCCCTGCTCAGTGGAGAGCCTGCTTCTCCCTCTCTCTCTGCCTGCCTCTCTGCCTACTTGTGCTTTCTCTCTCTGTCAAATAAATAAATAAAATCTTAAAAAAAAAAAATACTGTCACTTGATCTAGATGGTGGTGCCCAGGTGTGTGTTATATATACTGAGAGAATGTAAAAATGATGATGGCAATGGTGATGCTGCTGCTGCTGATGGTTGTGGAGGTGGTGGTGATGGTGGTGATGGAGGTGGTGGTGATGATGATGATGGAGATGGTGGGAAAATTGCAGCTTCTGAAATGGAAAGCAAGGAATAACATTAGCAGTAGCACCAAGGGAAGGGTCTCCTGGAAAAATACAGTGAGCCATTAACTACAGAGGGGCCCTGGGGAGGTGGCGGGGCAGCCAAGGAGGTGTATCCCTGCTGGGACCTTCCTCCTGGGCAGGTGCCCTTAGCTGTGGGCAGTGCCGGGAGCCCATGGCCCTGACTGAGTTCTGGGTGGGGCTACAGCCTGGCCATTTCTGCCCAAGGTGGGCATCCTCAGACAGCCTTTGCCTGGACTCTGTCAGTGGTTCACGGCCCCCATCCTCCAGTCCTGCTACCTCCCTTTTATCTTTTTCAGGCAGGGTTTGGGGGGTGGTGACAGAATAAGCCTTTTTGACAAGTCTGTGGTCCAGCTGGATGGGCACCTGTAAAGAGACTCACGACGCCAAATTTCTGTCTGTGGAACCTCATTTTCCATGCAATTTAGTAATGCAACTGGAAATGAGTTCTTATAGAAAAAATATTATTTCAAAACATAATGAACCCAAAAGCAAAACTTTAAAGTCACATTAGTGAAAAGTGGAGGTTTTATGATTATAATTTGTGATTTAATGGTCCACAAAGTGAATCGCAGGCATGCAGAGTTACTTCTGCACAGAGCACAGTAGGTTTTAGGGGTGGGGCCCCCACTACCCCCTGGGCAGCAGCAACCCCTGCATTCCTGTTTCCTGCAGGAGCCCTGGCCCCTGCCCCCCACCCCGGCTCTGGACGAAGCAGTGAGCCCCTCTCTGTGGACACCCAGGTCCTCTCGGGTCCAGGCCGAGGTCACCATGCAGAAGAGGAAGGTTCTCCTGGCCACCGTGTGGAAAAGGAAGGTTCTCCGTGTCCTCCACCTACCAGGGGCTGTCCCTGGCCACCGGTATCTTCAGGCCTTTCCCTACATCCCTCTCCCCATCCTTGGCCCCTGTCGCCTACACTCAGGACCGCCCAGGCCCTTCCCCACTGTCTGCAGAGTGTGTCCAGCATGCACACTGGATGTGCACCTGTCCTTCCCTCGTGGTGCAAATGGAGAGAGGCCCATGGGCTGTGTGGCCAGCGGCTCTGCAGGATGTCCTGACCAGGAGATGGGGGACCAAGTCTGCTCCTAGGGAGCTGACCCATGATTTTGGCGATAACTACCCCTGGTCATTTGTACATCCAAGTCTGTGGCGCTGGGACCTCAGGGCTCAGGCCCCAGGCCTGGCTGCTCAGCCACCTTGGCAGCTGGCCAAGGGCTGTGTTCCTGGAGGCTTTTCCCTGTGACCCAGACATGCCTGGGGTGATCGGGGTGTTTGGACCAAAGGCAGCAGATAAGCCCAAACATGATGAGGCCCATCCAACTGAATCACCTGCCCATGGAGGCGAAAATAAGGCCAAGAGCTGTGGTGGGGGTGACGCAGAGCCGCTCCTGTACCGAGATCCACGGGCTCGGGGTCTCCATCTGTCAGTGAGGAGTGGGGAGCAGTGCTCAGAGGGTCCCGGGCTCCCTGAAAATGATGGAGCCATCTGAAAAAGACCTGACAATAAGGATGGTTAGGATTTTTCAGAGATAAAGAAAAGAATAGCACCCACAGAAGGAACAGGAAATTATTAAACAAAACAGAGTCACAGCTCCAAGAGGTGGAATGGCTGGAGGGTCACAGATGAAGGACAGAATGTGGAATGTACACACAACGGAATATTACTCAGCAGTGAGAAGGAAGGGAATTCAGACACAAGCTACACCATGGAAGAACCTTGAGGACGTTTTACTAAGGGAAAGAAGCCAGACACTAATGGACAAATTCTGTATGACTGCACTTGTGTGAGGTCCCTAGAGGAGTGACATCCATAGAGACAGAAAGAAGATGCAGGGATGGAGACAGGATTTGATGGTTCAGAGTTTCAGTCTGGGAAGATAAAACCCTTTTGGAGATAGTGATGGTTGCCCAATGTGAATGTTATTATTGCCACTGGGACATTGCCCTTTCAGTCTCTCGGACCCCCCACCTCCAATGTCCCCCTGCAGCGTGCACACAGGTCCCGGGCTTGATTGACAACCAGAAGTCAGAGGAGCTCAGGGAGACCGAGGAGAGCAGGTAGAGGGGCGATGGCAGGAAACAGACGCCTTGTCCCACCCAGGGTGAGCACTGCTCCGACTCCCACTTGGGCGGCTGACCTCGACCTGGGGCCCTAGTGTTCCAGTGCCTGCCTTCCCCCGCCGGGCCATCGCCCCCCCAGACCCCAGCCCTCTCTCCTCTTGCCCTCCCCAAGCCCCCCAGGAGCCCTCCTTGCGCTGGACCCTCCCCCTCCAGTGCCCCCTGCCCCCTACCTCCCCCGCCGCCCCGCCCCGCCACGCCGAGTCCCCTCCCTCCAGCACCGCCCCCACAGGCTGCGCCCCCTCCCTCCAGCACCGCCCTTCCCACTTCCCCAGTCCCCCAGCGCCGCGCCCCCTCCCTCCAGCGGCCCCCCGGGCCCGGGGTTATTAATAACCGCGCCTCGCATTCTCAGCTGGCGGCCGGGCAGGTGGCCTCGACGCCCGTGTCCAGACGCGGAGCGCAGCTTTCCTGGCGGGACCTGTAGCGGACGTCCCTCCGCCGACCCCAGGAGACCCGGCGCCCCGCTCAGCGCTTGGGGACGTGCACGGAGACCGAGGCTCAGGGTGGACCACACACTGGGGGAGTGAGGTGAGCAAGGGGCGCCAGCTGGGGTGCCCCGGCTGGGGCTGGAAAAGTGGGGTGGGAGCGGGTGTCAGAGAGAAGGACAGGAGTGTCGAGGCAAAGGGGTGACGGTGTTGGGGCATCGGGGTGTCCAGGCATCGGGATGTCAGGGTGATGGGGTGTCGGGGCGCCCTCCCGCCGGCCCCCTGTGAGCGCCGGGCCCAGTTGGAAGCCGCAGGTGCGCAGGGCGGGATCCGTGGGGCTTGGCATCCCTCCTGGTGGTCCCTCCCTCAGGGCTTGCAGCCCTCAGGAGTGTGGGAGAGGGGCCCCTGGCCGGGAGGACGACCCCTGGCCAGGCACCAGACCAGAGGCTGGGCCGGATCCTCTCTGCACACAGGGCTCTGGTCACGCAGGGTGGGACGGTCCAGACTTTATCATTTTTATAATAGATATTGGACGTGCAGAGGGAGAAAGCCTGAAGCCATTATTATCCCTGGACCCTGGGAGCTGGGGTGACAGGGCCCCCTCCTCTGTGGTTAAGTATCCCACGTTTTTGGTTTCTTTCTTTCTTTCTCTCTTTCTCTCTCCCTCCCTCCCTCCCTCTTTCTCTCTCTCTCTTTCTCTCCCTCTCTACTTCTTTCCTTCCTTCCTTCTTTCTTTCTTTTTTGCTTCCTTCCTTCCTTCCTTCCTTTTTTCCTTGTGAGGATGCTCCTCATCCAGGAAGCACAGACCTTAAGTATACGTGTCTGTTCCTGTGTAACCACCCCACCCAGATGGGAACAAAGCATGCTCCAGTCCCCCCACTCCCAAGGGCTCCCCAGTGCCCACCACCGTTGACAGTTCCCCCCTCCCCCCCCCCCCCCCCCCGGCCAAGTAACCACTACTCTGACCTCCACTGTCACAGCCCATCTTGCCTGTGCGTGAACTTCACGTACGGGAACCCACAGCTGCGTTCTGCTGGCTGATTTCCTTCACTCAACATAGTCATCCAGGTTATTGACTGAAGCGGGACTGCCATCTACTTCATTGCTACAGAGCATTTTAGGGAGATGTCAGAGTTTGTTTATCCACACTAGTTATTTATGGGCGTCTGGGTTGTTTTCAGCTCCTGGATATTAGGAATAGGCTGCTTGTCAACATTCTCACTCTTGTCTTTTTTGTGGACAGTCGCACTTGTTTCTCTCAGGGGCAGACGGAGAGAGGGACTGCTGGGGAAGAGGTCCTGTCTCACTGATAGTGCGGGTTGCTTCCTGAAGGGGCTACACCATTTCACACTCCCCCAGCTCCTCCGTGTGCGTCCTGACACCCTGCATCTGCCCCCAGCTCCTCCATGTGCCCTGACACCCACGATCTGCCCCCTGCTCCTCCATGTGCACCCTGACACCCAGAACCTGCCCCCCAGCTCCTCCGTGTGTGTCCTGACACCCCGCATCTGCCCCCCAGCTCCTCCATGTGCATCCTGACACCCCGCATCTGTCCCCCGCTCCTCCGTGTGCCTCCTGACACCCCACATCTGCCCCCCTGCCCCTCCATGTGCCCTGACACCCACGATCTGCCTTTCTGGCTCTGGCCAATGCAGTGGGCATGTGGTGGTTTTGACCTTTGTTTCCCTGACGACTAATGATGCTGGGCATCTCCTCCTGTGCTTCTCGAACATTTGGATATCCTCTTTTGGGAAGTTCCTGTTCAGATCTTCTCTTTTTCTTCCCGTCCAAACGAGTTGTTAGAGTGTATAGATTTATAGTTAGTTCATATATTTTGGTTACTAATTCTTTGTCTTCTAATAATCTTTTCCCAGTCCATAATTTATATTTTTACTCTCTCGGTAAGGTTGCTAATTTTAATGAAGTCCATTTGTTTCCTGTTCTTTTGTGAGAAATCTTTGCCTGCCCGTGGTCATGCAGGTATTCTATGTTTCTTCCAGGAGCTTGATTGATTAATTTAACCTATTATATGCCGGTCCACAATCCATCTTGAATTATTTTTGTGTATGGCATGAGATAGGAATCAAGGCTCATTTCCCCCATGTGGATACAGAGAGATTACAAATGCTTTCTCCTCTTCACCACACACTTTTTTTTCTATCTGAACTTTTAAAGTCAGTGGATATTACTTTTGCAATCTAAACAAAATGTATGCAGAAGAAATAAATTGGGAGAAAGCACAGTCCTCTGCAGGTCCCCAGCGGGGCGGGGTGGGAGGGACCGTGCCCTCACACAGCCTGCTGGGAGTGGGAGGGGGCACCCGAGCTGATCTTTAATGAGCGTCTTCTCCTGCAGACCGAGCTTGCCGCCCACAGATGCCTCCTCCCCGTCCAGAGGAGCAGCACGCCCCAGCACCAAGCCCCGCGTGAGGCAGCAGGGATGGCGCTGGGCCCTGAGCCAGTGAGCAGGTTCCCCGAGCTGGCTGCGATGGGCAGCCCTGTGCCCGAGCCGTCTGGTGCCCCCAACGCATCCGTCAATGGCTCCTGGGCCGGCGCAGCGGAGCCCAGCTCCCTGGAGGACCTGGTGGCCACGGGTGCCATGGGGGCTGCGCTCTCGGCCATGGGCGTGGTGGGTGTGGCAGGCAACGTGCACACGCTGGTGGTCATGGGCCGCTCCCTGCGCGCCTCGGCCTCCTTGTCCGTCTACGTCATCAGCCTGGCGCTGGCTGACCTGCTCTACCTGCTCAGCATCCCCTTCGTCGTGGCCACCTATGGCACCAAGCAGTGGCACTTTGGCGAAGTGGGCTGCCGGGTCCTCTTCAGCCTGGACTTCCTGACCATGCACGCCAGCATCTTTACCCTGACCGTCATGAGCAGTGAGCGCTACGCCGCCGTGCTGAGGCCCCTGGACACAGTGCGGCGTTCCAAGGGCTACCGCAAGATCCTGGCTCTGGGCACGTGGCTGCTGGCCCTGCTGCTGGCCCTGCCCATGATGCTGGCCATCCGGCTGGTCCGCAGGGGCCGCAAGAGCCTCTGCCTGCCGGTCTGGGGCCAGCGAGCCCACCGCACCTACCTGACGCTGCTCTTCGGGACCAGCATCGTGGGGCCCGGCGTGGTCATCGGGCTGCTGTATGTGCGCCTGGCCCGGGCCTACTGGCTGTCCCAGCGGGCCTCCTTCCTACAGACGCGGCGGCTGCCCAACCCCAGGGTGCTCTACCTCATCCTGGGCATCGTGCTGCTCTTCTGGGCCTGCTTCCTGCCCTTCTGGCTGTGGCAGCTGCTCGCCCAGTACCCTGGGGCCCAGCCGCTCACACCCCGCACCACGCGCATTGTCAACTACCTGACCACCTGCCTCACCTACGGCAACAGCTGCGTCAACCCCTTCCTCTACACGCTGCTCACCAAGAACTACCGCGAGCACCGCCAACGCCCGCTCCGCCCCCGGGGAGCCAGCCGGCCCCCGCGTGCCGGCGCCTTCCCTCCGCGCCAGGTCCGCTTCCAGCGCGGCTCCGGCCGCTCGCTGTCCTCCTGCGGCCAGCAGCCCACCGAGGCCCCCGCAGCGTCCCAGGCGGCCTCGAGAGTGGTCTGCGCCTGAGAGTCCCGCGGCCCCACACGAACGCTGGGGTCGAGGGCGGGAGGTGGCCTGAGTCCAGCAGGCAGCCTGCCCCCAGCGCCCCCGTGACTTAGTCTTCTTCCAGAAAGTTCTCTGCTCTCCCTTCTGCTTGGCTCCGTTCAGCATCATCAGCCATCTCCCTTGTGATGCCTGGAGGCCCCACTCCCAGAGCACCTAGGAGGCTCTGTGGGAGGCTCAGGCCCAGAACCAGCTTCTGGAGATCCCAGCAGGCAGAGTCTCCACCACCCATGGCAGGAGACGTGGCACACTCCTCTCCTGGCTGGGGTGTGGTCCCTGTGGCACCAGCCCCGCCCTGTCCCTGTCTGCGTTCCCGACAATAAACCCTGAGCTCTGCACCCCCGTCCCGCCTCAGTGCACGGATGGCATGTTGAGGGGTGGGGGGGCCCTTCGGCACGAGGAGCCTGTCGGTCTGGCTGGGAGGATGCACGTCTTCCTTTGAGGCTTGGCTGGTGGCTGGTCCAGCTGTCTGGACATGGTGGGCAGGTGCCACCCGGCCTGAGCCAGGCCCCAGAGTGTGGGGCTTGAGACCCTGCGGCAAGGTCTCAGGTCCAGGCACCCCAGGAAGTTACATTTTTTACCCGACACTTAAGACCTGAATTGATGCACGCTCTGTGTCAGAGGGGACCTGAGTGTCCTGGTTAGTGCTCCCAGGGACACCCAGGTGTGCCGAGCAGCAAGCAGAGGGAATGGTGGACGCAAAGGGCAGGCAGGGGCTCCGTGTCCCTATGATGGGCTTGGGGGACAGAGATGAGACTGGGAGTTGGGCGGCGTCCTGACCCCAGAGGCCTTGCACGGGGGACGGGGTTCATCTGAGACGGCAGTGGGGCATGGACGGACTTAGAGGCCACCAGCAGGCTGGGAGGTTAGGCCACAAGCCCCTGCTTCTGGGGTCAGGAGATGCCGGGCAAGGGGAGTAGCACAGGGCAGTGCAGGAGCTGAGCTATTCTGGGAAGTTGGCAGAGGGCTTCTGGCTGGGGGGGTCCTGACTCACTGCAGGGGCCAGGGTACATCCTTGAGGGGGAAGGAGGGAGCCTGCAGGTCCTGGGAGACGGGTGAGGCTATAGACAGACACACTCATCCACACAGAAGCGGGGCAGGAGTTCCTGGGAGCCACCTCCGGGGAGGAGGGAGGAAGAGCCCCAGGAAAGCAATTTCGCTGGAGGGCCGGTCAGAGCAGGGGAGACACATGGGCCAGGTCCCCGCAGGCTGAGCTGGGGCCCAGGGGCCCTTTGGAAATACAAGACGGAGTTCCTGGCCCTGTGCAGACAAGCTTCGCCTCTGCCCAGCTGGGCTTGGGACCCCTGTCTGTGTGTCTGTCTGTCTTCCCCATCACTCAGGGCCAAGCCTGTGCTGCCCACCTCATGGCATAGATCCTTGAGCACGTGGCGCGTGGGTCGGCGGCCCCAGGACAGTCTGTTCCATCCAGGCCTCCAACGCCCAGGGTGCTGGGACCCAAGATGGCCCAGCTCCACTGGGGCACGGCAGGCTCAGCAGGGCAGGCTCACCTGAGGTGGCGGGGATCCCGGAGGGGGGATCTGCCTGGCAAAGGACGAAGGCTTCGGGGGCAGAAAGGGAGAGCCCGAGGCTGCTGGCTTCCCAGGCCTCACACCCACGGGCTTAGGTCTGGTCAGAAACGAAATCGAGGTCCTGCCTGCAGCAGTGTCGTGGCTGCATCCCCGAGAGAAACCCCCCCCAGAGTGTCCGTCCTCATCCTCTCCCTCATGACAAGTCTCTTCAGTTCCCAGTCCCAGCGTGGCCTCCCCTGGCTGACCCCCCATCCCTCTCCCTTGTCCCCCCACTCCTGCCCCCACCTCCCGCCTGGCAGACCCCCATCCCTCTCCCTTGTCCCCCCACTCCTGCCCCCACCTCCCGCCTGGCAGACCCCCATCCCTCTCCCTTGTCCCCCCACTCCTGCCCCCACCTCCCGCCTGGCAGACCCCCATCCCTCTCCCTTGTCCCCCCACTCCTGCCCCCACCTCCCGCCTGGCAGACCCCCATCCCTCTCCCTTGTCCCCCCACTCCTGCCCCCACCTCCCGCCTGGCAGACCCCCCCATCCCTCTCCCTTGTCCCCCCACTCCTGCCCCCACCTCCCGCCTGGCAGACCCCCCATCCCTCTCCCTTGTCCCCCCACTCCTGCCCCCACCTCCCGCCTGGCAGACCCCCCATCCCTCTCCCTTGTCCCCCCACTCCTGCCCCCACCTCCCGCCTGGCAGACCCCCATCCCTCTCCCTTGTCCCCCCACTCCTGCCCCCACCTCCCGCCTGGCAGACCCCCATCCAGTGTGCTTTGGAGTTTAGAATGTTAGGCAGGTGCTCACACATGGACACGCTCCACTCCCACACTGGGCACATTCTGTGGCTGTGCCCTCACCCCACCCTGCCACGTGGAGACCCCACAGGCCCACTGTGGCTTCGCTGGCCTCCCTGGGCCCACTGCCCACAGCCCTGGCACCCAGGACCCACTCGGTCAAGGCCAGGTGATTTATGGAGGCCTCATCTGGCTCAAGACCCACGGCCTGTCAGGCACAGTGCCCAGCTTTCTGGCCTCGTCAGGCTGCTCTGCCTGCTCAGAGGCCGGGCTGGCTCCTGTAAGGGGACCCCCTGCCTGCGGGTCCCCCCCGCCCCCCCACCAGGGCCTCAGATCCCAGCCTGGGCCCCAGGGCTCTGAGGCTGCGGAGGGTTCCAGGTGGTCCGAGCTGGGGCAGGAGCCGAAGCTTGGGAGGGCCGGACGGTAGAGGGCCCCGGGCTGAGGGGTCGCCCGGGCCAGGGCATGCGGCAGTTGGTTGTTGTTGTTCGGTTACAGCTCTCCTGAGGCACAGTTACCCACCATAACACTCAGCCCCTGCAATTACTAATTTTCCGTCAGTTTACAGAGCTGTGCAAGCATCATCCAATCCAGTGCCTGCACATCAGTCAGGAAAGCCAAAGCAACCAGACATAACGTATAAAGGATTTCTTTAAGGAACCGACTCACGCAATTAGGGGGCTGGCAAGCGTGAAATCCAGGGAAGGGGCCGGCAGGCTGGAAACTCTGGCAGGAGTTGAAGCTGCAGCCTTGGGGTGGAATTCCTTCTTTTCTGGGGAAGTTCTGTTTTTTTGCTCCTAAGGCTTTCAGTTGGATGGATGAGGCCCCCCCACGCATGTGATGGAGAACAGTTTTCTTTGCTAGAACTTAGCTGATTGTAGATGTCCATGCACGCTGTACTGGGGGTCAGCACCCCGCCCCTTTTTAGAGCTGAGTACTCCTTGTGGGGTCAGCCGGTGTTGTTTATCCGCCCCTCAGTTACGGAGCTGCTCTGGACACGCGTGTGCACGTCTTCGTGTAAACACGTTGGCATTCTCTTGGGGAGGTTCCTGTGGAGTCTCCAGACTCTTTCCCACAGTGCCTTCACGTCCTGTGCCCCCTGAAGCTGAGCAGGGGGCTCCCAGTGCCCCCAGCCTCCCATCATCATCCTCCCTCTGGGCATGCACCGTTTTTATAATAAAAGAGCAGCTGCTCTGGGTAGACTGGGATTAATACCTTGCAGCTTAGTGACCTTGACCGACTCTCAGAGGCAAGCGTCTGCAAGGCCGGGAGCCGCAGGCCTTGCTCGTAGCTGAGCTTGGTGTCAGGACAGTGCTGCTCAGGGGCTCGCGGAAGGGTGGGTGACTGAGGCTGGGCCACTCCCTTCCCAAGCCATGGCACCTCAGCTCCCGAGCAAAGGGAGCCCAGGCTCCCCGACCTGGTAACATCTATGGGGGAGGGGCGGCCAGCAGGGCCCCTCAGGAGTCAGGGACGGCACCATGGCCGTAATCACCATGGGTAATCTTGGCTCTGAAGCACCTTGGCTCTGTGGATCATCTGAGCCCCTTTTGGCCAGTTCCTCCTGTTTCCGAGAAGACGTTGACCAGGTCCCCTCCTCCCCCTGTCCTTGGGAAGACAATGACCAGGTCCCTCGTCCCCTGACCCAAGGAAGGCTCTGACCAGGCATGTCCATGGGCCTAGCTGGCCTCAGAGCAGGCTGGGGGGCTGTTCCAACAGTTCCCAGTTCCCAGGGAGGGAGGGAGGCTCAGCACCGGAGGGCCTTCTCTGTGAACCCCCTCATGTTATCTGGAGCTTAAGGTCACAGGGCTTTGCTGGACAGCCCTCTTGGCTCAGGCTGATGGGGGCTCAGTGACCCAGGCCAGGCCGCCTCCACAGGCTCTGGGGTCCATCTGCTGGCTCCTCGGCCAGCTTCTGGGATCACAGGGGACTGTGCCCTTTCGGCGGGGGGTGGCGACTGTCAGTTGAAACGTGATGTTTTCCCCTTTCCCAGGAAGTTCAATTTAGAGAGAAGGGTGCTGGTCGTGGGAGCCTCGTGGGTGAGCAAGGGCTTGGGCAGGGGCTCTGGGTGGCTCACGGGGCTCCAGGCTGCTGCAGGAGGGGCAGAGCCAGGGAGGGACACAGCGCATCTCCCCACCACGGCCCCTCAAGCAGAAGAGACAGAGAAACAGACACAGGGAAGGAGGGCACAGGCCGTCTGCCAGAGGGAGCAGAATGCAGCCAGCAGATGCCGAGGGGTGGCCATGTGGTGCCTGGGGGTGCGGGGTTCTGCCCCAGGAGCCAAGGGTTAATGAGCTGCCCTTGGGCTGCATACTTGGCCACAGTCTATGCAGCTTTACTGCAGATGTTTCTGCTCTTCCTGGGTGTGAAGGGTCTTCTGGTCATACTTCAGGCCGCATGTCTCAGGGTCCCAGTGCCCCCAGAAAGCTCCAGACCTATCCAGGGACCAAAGCCCCAGGGAAGGTGAGGCATGGACGTGGGGGGACCCAGGCACCAAATCAACACCATGACAACTAGGGAGACCTTCAATGGGTGCCAGGCCCAGTGTCCTGTTCAGAAAGTGGTGTCTGGGGCGCCTGGGTGGCTCAGTTGGTTAAGCGACTGCCTTCGGCTCAGGTCATGATCCTGGAGTCCCTGGATCGAGTCCCGCATCGGGCTCCCTGCTCAGCAGGGAGTCTGCTTCTCCCTCTGGCCTTCCTCCGTCTCATGCTCTCTGTCTCTCATTCTCTCTCTCTCAAATAAATAAATAAAATTAAAAAAAAAATTTGGCCATTCTAGAGGCGCCTAGATGGCTCAGTCATTAAAAAAAAAAAAAAAAAAAAAAAAAAAAGAAAGTGGTGTCTGGCTGGCCATCGGAGGGGCCCAGCAGCCTTGGGTAATGGGACAGGAGGCCAACAGGGTCAGCCTAGGGTTGGAGGACCCTTTGGGAGCTGAGTGAAACCCCAAGGAATCAGCCCTGAGGGGATCCCTGGGGGCCAGGAGCCCAGGATGGTCCAGGTGCACCCCAGACAGCCT